GGGTGGAAGACTCGCCGCACTGCCCCCTTCCCAGCAGCGCTCTGCTCCTCCACCGGCCGGCGGATCGGATGGGGTCACGCTGCCCGTGGTACGGGCCTCAGCCAGCCCATCACAACGGCCCACCGGGCCAGTCCGCCCCTGCACTCGCCAGCTGGAAAAATCTACTCGCTATGGGCGAGCGGGTGAGTACATTTGTCGAGCCCTGCACACACATCATATGAAGAATACAGGCTCTGTTCTTGTATTGCAAATGTTCTCTGTCTGGGAGAGAGCAATAGGCCTGGACTGCCTATTGTGAGGAAGGATTGTTCGGTAAATGGCTGTGCTAACTAGCACTGCTCCATGGACAATGGCTCTCGGAGTGGCCAATACACACCTGAGGAATGCGTCGGGAAACTTGCAAACCAGCCAGTGCACAATGGCTACTTGAATGTGAAACAGAGATCGGTCACTTGATCATGTGACCAGCTCCAGTTTGGAAGACACCAGGGCTACGTCTAGATTGGCATGATTTTCCAGAAATGCTTTTAAAGGAAAAGTTTTCCGTTAAAAGCATTTTCGGAACAGAGCGTCTAGATTGGCACGGACGCTTTTCCGCAAAAGCACTTTTTGCGGAAAAGCGTCCGTGCCAATCTAGATGCGCTTTTACGCAAAAAAGCCCCAATCACCATTTTCGCGATCGGGGCTTTTTTGCAGAAAACAAATCTGAGCTGTTTACACTGGCCCTTTTGCGCAAAAGTTTTGCGCAAAAGGACTTTTGCCCGAACGGGAGCAGCATAGTATTTCCGCAAGAACACTGACAATCTTACATGAGATAGTCAGTGCTTTTGCGGAAATTCAAGTAACCAGTGTAGACAGCTGGCAAGTTTTTCCGGAAAAGCGGCTGATATTCCAGAAAAACTGGCCAGTCTATACACAGCCCAGGAATATAAAAATGCCATGAGGCTGTCTCCATCTTGTCTTCAATCTTGCTCCGGATTCCAGATGCAGCTTTGCTAGGGACAGAGAGCTGGGAAGGATTGCTGACCCATCCTAATACAGGATGTACACCAGAGACTTCTAAGCTAGCAGTTTGTAACATCTCTGCTAAGAGCCTGCAGCAAGAATTTGGTAATTCCTTAATCTTACTCTGAACCTATTCTTTCTTTTATTAATAAATGTTTAGATTTTAGATTCTGAAGGACTGGCTCAGCGTGCTTTTGTGGGTAAGATCTAAAGTATAAATTGGCCTGGGACTCCGGCTAGTTCTTTGGGACGGGCAGGATCTGTTCAGGTAGGTGAGATCAGGTTTTATAACCTCTCACCTGTGTGTAAGGCCCGGGACTGATTGTGGCACAGGGAGAGCTGAGATCTGAGGGTTTTGCTCATGAGGCTTCCTGCTGGCTATCTTGGCAGCTGAAGTGTTCTGTGTGATTGGTTTGTGGCTTATTTTGGGAAAGGTCTCCCGTAGAGGGCTGTAAGCAGCCCTGGTTTTGAGCAGCTCGCCCTCAGCGGTGCCTACACCCAGTCCAGTCCGTCACAACATCAAGGTAACTAGACTAGCTACAGTTACAGTGGTGCCTTTCAGCTAAATCAGTTTGTCTCTCTCTTTATACTGGGAGCTTGCATAAATGTAACAAGATCATTTTTAATTATACTTTGATAGCCTGTTATTTGAATTTTCTTAGAAAACAGAAATCAGTTCTGATCCTCTTTGTTTTTCACCCACTTATGCTCCATCTCTCCACTTTGTCAAAGCAATCAGGTGTTGCTTTCTTTATACAGAATTTATTACACACTACTTACAGGTTCCACACACTCAAATTTCTTCCGTTCCTGTATCTCCTGCAGCTTGCACACATATTCTAGTGACAGCTCATAAAAGTGTTTTCTATTTTGCTCCACCTGGAAATCTGCCTACGGAGAGAATAGAGCAGTTTTAGGTTTCACAGACATTACACAGATAGAATCTTCAGCTCTACATACATGTCATTCTCAAGCTAAGTAATAAGGCTCTCCAGGCAAAAGACTCTCCCCAATTGTTCATTACTGTAAACATCATTCATTACTGTAACTTACTTTGGATACATTAACAGCAATGCCTTTTACCATATGCTTGGTTGTATTTTGTTTCAGAAGGTGGAGTGTTCTTGGAAACTCACATGACTTTTCATTTTAATTGCAATGCAGATCACAAACATGTCAGTGCAAATATATACTTAAATATCACACACAAGGGCCCTGCACAGATACAGAGGGGATAAGAAGATTCATGCCTAAAAGATGTGAACTGCTTATATTCAACCATAGTTTTTTTCATTTAAAATCTTATAGGCATTAAATAAGAGCACATTTTGGTTGTTGAAATATTTAATATTCTGATTTGTTTTCTAGCATTTCGAAAAACAAGAATAAGAAGTTACATCTAATAAGTTTTAAAGAATATTTTAATTGGTAATAAAAGAAATTGGTGTAAGTGAACTTTGCTATTGAAAATTCCATCAAGAAAATTAAATACATCTATTTTTATTTTCTATACTTTGAACAAGTGGCGCTAGTACTGTTAATAGGCATCTGTTCAACACTGCTCAAAGGCTGCTCTTGTTTTTCTGCTCAGGTATCATCTCTGTTTTAGAGGTTTACAAGTTTCCTTACCTTTAGACACACCTCAATACGTGGCTTATGAAAACATTATTTTCATTTTTCTGTATCAAGTTGTCTACAGTATCTGATCAATTTAGTAAGAACAATTTCTACCCATGATTCTACAAACATTTATGCATATGCTTCAAGTTAAGCATGAGTAGTGCCAATGTACTTCAATTGAACTACTCATCTATTCAAAGTTAAACACATGTAGATTTGCAAAAGCATGGTCTAACTTTGAGAAACACAACATGCAAAGACAATATGCTGAAAGTCTGACTGGATGCTCAAATTCTTATGTAACTGGCGGACTATGAAAATGGTTTTTATGAAGGAGAATGGTGGGAACATTTTGTTAGGAAAAACCTTAAATTTGGGAGAGTGATAAGTGTTCTTTAATATATGTAGAGCATAGAGAAGCAAAATAGAAAACCAAGCAATCTGGGAGATTTTCCTTCTGTAAGATAAGTCTTCTGAATACAAAGGCTGAAAAAAGCTTCCTTTGCTCATCTTCTCATACCTTATTTACTGGTCCTTGAGAAACAGAAGCTGACAAAATCTACTGTGGCCGGGCCACTGAGGAAACCAAAGGTATGCCAACAAAAAACAGAGATTTTTAAGTCTTGACCTATAGAAGGCATCAACATTCTTTCCTCCTCTCGGGCAGCAACATTTGATCAGGTTCTCCAAATTAAAAAATAAAATCAGCATGCGAGTTGTTGCATTTAGTATTCCATTATATCAGTCAACCCAATCTACATATTACAATGTAAGCATATATGCAGTGAAACCCTGTATAAATGCAGGTTTCTCCACACACTGTTCATGCTTCACTACTCCTTTAACTACCTGTAAAAGTGACAAAGATCAGTAATGTTACGTATATGAACTAAAAATATGTCTGAGACCCAACAAACAATGGTAATGTTCTACTGGTAATGATTTTCTTAAAGAAAACCAAATTTCCTTGATTGAAGGCAATTGTCTTTCAACAGCCTAAGTGTTCTTTTTGTACTTTATTAAGTATATTTAAGTACTAAAAGCAAAAAGGAAAGATCTTCATTTTCAGTGACTGATGAAGAAACAGCAGCAGTACCTCTAATAGTTGTGGCTCTTTCTTCTTAGCAGACAAATTTAAATGCTTCTCTAACAAGCTGTAGTTTTTCTCTGTCTCTTTGTCAAATTTCTTCTTTTCCTCCTGCAAGTAAAACAATCAATTCAATATTATTCACTTAAATATGAAAATACAAGAACAGTTCATCTGCTCACTTGTTAAAGTTCTAGGTGAGAGATGTAACAGCAGCAGTGAAGGACAAACACCACAACATACTATGCCACCTAGTAAATGACAAGTGACACTTTAAAAAAAAATTAAATTTAGACTGAGGACCTAAACTGAATTAAAGCCCAATTACACTAATGACAGAAAATAACTCCTATTAACAAATGAGTGAGCTTTTTCCAGTGTAAAAACAAAAAAAGTCTGTAACTATGGTTAATGTTGCCAACTCTTGAGATTTTATTGTGAAACTCACAAAGCTTGCCTTGTTTTTAAAGCCCGGCTCTTGGTTTTATGATTATATGAGAACTGCATCTTTCTTTCTTTTTTAAATTATGTAAGTTTTTAGCCCTTACAGTGGCAGAGAAAAGCTTGAAAATAAGACCAACATATCCCTTATAGCAAAGATACTCAGGTTGAGGTTTGAGAGCCACAAGTGGCTCTTTAATGCATCTCCTGTGGCTCTTTCTAGCAACCGATATTAAAAGAGTGTGACTTAATTATTCACCAATCAGAATACATTAACTATGTTACTAACCAACTGTAGCTGGTAAAATAATACTTGGTCATTTGTTTTGCTGCGAGAATGCTCAAATATTTGTGCTCTTTCCCCTCTCCTCCAAAATAAGATACTTCCTAATATGAAAAACTTCACCACATACCAGTACTCTATTTAAATTCAGATTTATTTAGTCAACTGTGAAACTTTGTTTCCAAGAGGTCAGTTCATTGAGGGCTCAGAATTGGACCTGACCTGTCTAGTCCAGTCTCATTTACCAATATGAGTTAAACTGTTTAATATTAAACAGCAGTCATACAAGGTGAACTAAACGTTCAGTATTTGCTTTTTGTAGTGAGCATATGTATTTTTCCTACATCAAATATATTTACTGTTCTAGATTCAGACACAATAATTCTGACTGTATTATACTTGGAAATTTTGATACTATGCAGTGTTATCTTTCCAATACCATCACTAATGCTTCAGCATTTCCATTATACTACATTTTAATAATTCCAGAAAAATATTCTTCAGACTTCCATAAAACAGATTTTTAAAAATGTTCTATTTAAGCTTAAAATTTAGCAATATAGGTGTTTTGTTTAAAATACAGTTAAAATTCCACAGCAAGAGCCTGAAGTTCCTAAGCAGTTTTTTGGGGGTGGTCCTTACATTTGCTTTAAATAGTTGTACCTGTGTGCAGTTGCCTAAGCAAGGACTGTATAAAAATAGAGTAAGAGCCTAAAACTTGTCCCAAGGAATCTCTGTTGCTATTATGCTTGTGGAGAAATGAACCTTTTGCTAATGTTAGGAGACCCAGAAATCAATTCTCTTAAAAAAAGCCTTAATATGGATACATATGATATATTTGTAGTCCCCTTACTAAAGGGGCCTCTTGTTTTATTCTAAAAAGACCCTGTGTGCTACAATCCAGACTACAATTCCCATGAGCCCTCGGAACAAAAGAGGTAGGAGGGACTCTTGTGAGAGAGAGGAGGCTCTCTCCATGTGCTTGAAGAAAGAGGCCTAGCAGTCTGGGACTCTGCCTTGCAGTTTGGAACCAAAGGGGGAGCCAGGCTGCTGCCAAGGACACTGACCCAGTGCAGGGGCTGTTGGAGTGCAGCTACTAGATGCCTGTTGGAACTGGGAGTTAGCAGGCTGCTTCCTATAGGCACAGTATGAGGCAGTAAGTTTGGGCCTTGCTGGAAGAGTGCTGCCTGGGACAGAGCTGCTGTTTAGCCTGGACCAAATCCTCACTACAGCTGCAACATCAGCGCGCCAACGCAAGCAAGTGTCTGGGACTGAGTCTAAGGGTGTGCACACTCTGGGAGGGGGTCACTGTTGTCTAGCTATATAAGCTTCAGTTATTGTTATGTGTTTTGTTAATGCTATTCCTTGCTATTCTGTTAATCCCTGTTTATTTAAGTTAAGTAAAGATTGTTTATTTTAAAGTATTCTGTTAGATCCAGCTTTATGTTGGAATGAGTATATTCCTGGAGGCTCTCAAGGCACCAGTGTGTGTACAAGGCCAGCCAGGTGGAGGCATCGCCAGTTTACATTCATTGCCAGCAAGGGACTGCAGAAAGGGGGGTGGATAGGGCTTTCCCCAACTAAACACCATCACCACTGGGGTGCTCAGGATCTCTTTTAGGTTAAAACATCTGGCGCCCAGGCACACCTGTGAGTGTGACCTGCTCCCCAGTAACTGGGGGAGGAAAAAGGGGGTCACATATTTATTATGACCCTGAATCTATACAAAGTTTTTCATTCAAAAGTCTTCTGAAGCATTTTTCAAATCTTGTGTACTGAAGGCATATATTTGGGAATCCTTTTGGCCACCACTGAAGTGTAGCCTCTTCCAGGGTGGAATAAGTAAGCTGTTTAACAGTGGATAGTAAAACTGTACAAGTTGAGACACAAAGTGGGGAATGAGGTATCCTAATGAAATTGTGTTGAGAAATTCAAGGTGGCAGAAGACAGTTACCCAAGCAAATATTTGACATGACAGCAGGGTTAAACACTCTGGTAAAAAATGCCAAGAGTGTTTTTAATTATTATAAATGATCAGCAGTTCTCATCTAGAAGACAGCAACACCCTTGACCTGCTGCTCACAAACAGGGAGGAACTAGTAGCGGAAGTAGAGGTGGGTGACAACCTGGGAAGCAGTGATCATGAGATGGTAGATTTCAGGATCCTGACCAAAGGAAGAAATGATTGTTGCAAAATACACACCTTGGATTTGAGAAAAACAGACTTTGACTCCCCCAGAGAACTGATGGGCAGGATTCGCTGGGATGCTTACAAGAAGAGCTGGAAGTATTTTAAAGAAGCCTTATTTAAGGAACAGAAAGAAACCATCCCGATGTGCAGCAAGAAAAGCAAATATGGTAGGCGACCAGATTGGCTCACCGGGGAAATCCTTGGTGATCTTAAACACAAAAAGGAAACTTACAAGAAGTGGAAACTTGGACTGATGACTAGGGAGGAGTATAAATATATTGCTCGAGGATTCAGAGGAGTTATCATGAAGGCGAAAGCACAATTGGAATTGAAGCTAGCAAGGGATGTGAAGGGTAATAAGAAAGGTTTCTAGAGGCATGTTAGCAATAAGAAGGTGATCAGAGAGAGTGTAGGGCCCTTACTGGATGAGGGAGGTAAGCTAGTGACAGATGATGTGAGAAAAGCTGAAGTACTCAATGCTTTTTCCCCTGTCTTCACAGACAAGGTAGCTCCCAGACTAAAGCACTAGACAACGCAGTAGGGGAAGGAGGTAGACAGCCCTTAGTGGGGAAAGAACAGGTTAGGAACAATTTAGAAAAGCTAAACATACACAAATCCATCGGTCTGGATTTAATGCATTTGAGGATACTGAAGGAGTTGGTAAATGTCATTGCAGAGCCTTTGGCCATTATCTTTGAAAACTCATGGAGATTGGGAAAGATCCCAGATGATCGGAAAAAAGCAAATGTAGTTCCCATCTTTAAAACAGGGATGAAGGACAATCCAGGGAACTACAGACTAGTCAGCCTTACCTCAGTCCCTAGAAAAATCATGGAGGGAATCCTCAAGAAATCCATGCTGAAGCACTTGGAAGAGGGGGAAGTGATTAGGAATAGTCAACATGGATTCACGAAGGACAAGTCATGCCTGACCAATCTGATTAGCTTCTATGATGAGGTAACTGATTCTGTGGATATGGGAAAGTCAGTGGATGTGATACATCTTGACTTTAGCAAAGCTTTTGATACGGTCTCCCACAATATTCTTGCCAGCAAGTTAAAGGAGTATGGATTGGATAAATGGACTGTAAGATGGATAGAAAGCTGGCTAGACTGTCAGGCCCAACAGGCAGTGATCAATGGCTCAATGTCAGGTTGGCGGTCGGTTTGTAGTGGCGTGCCCCAAGGATCTGTTATAGGACTGGTTTTGTTCAACAACTTTATTAATGATAGAAATGTAGCCGTGTTAGTCTGGTGTAGCTGAAACAAAAAACAGGAATATGTAGCACTTTAAAGTCTAACAAGATGGTTTATTAGGTGATGAGCTTTCATGGGCCAGACCCATGTCCTCAGATCAAATAGTGGAAGAAAATTGTCACAACTATATATACCAAAGGATACAGTTAAAAAAAATGAACACATATGAAAAGGACAAATCAAATTTCAAGAAATACAAAAACATCAAGAATGACATTTCTAACTTAGAGAGTCTCAGCTCAAGACAAACATCGACACCGACTAACACCTTGCAAGACTTTTGTTCCACCAGACAAAAAATCTACTATTTCTACACTTCTATTCCCTACAACAAAGAAAAGACAAACTTTCTAAACTGCTCCACACCACAGGCTACAACAGCAACTACCTCTACCCACCGGATAATATTGTTAACCTCTCCACCTACAAACTCAATCCAGCAGAAGAGTCCGTCTTATCCCGGGGTCTCTCTTTCTGCCCCACGTCCCCCACAAACTGAATACAATTTTGTGATGACCTTGAGGCTTTTTGTTGCCGCCTCCGCCTCCGAGAATATTTCCAAACCACCAATGAACATCAATCTGACCTACCAGATCCCCCCTATCAACACCAAAGGAAAAATAATTCTATATGGACTCCCCCTGTCAGAATTACAATCTGGATTTCTATATACAAAGCGTCCGCAACAACGCACAGACTGACATTATTCACAAACTACAACAAGCGACACAATCTCAGCAGCGCTGAACACCATGCCATCCAATGTCCCAAAAACAATCTGGACACTATAATCAAACCAGTTGACAAAGGGGGTGCTGTGGTCATTATGAATAAGGCCGACTATAACCAGGAGGCAACCAGACAACTCTCCAACACCACATTTTACAAACCTCTCTCCTCTGATCCCACCTCAGAATACCAAAAGAAACTACACTATCTC